ATGCTTTGGGTTGGAAGGGACCTTGAGAGATCATCTAACCCTACCCCGCTGCATGTATCACTGAGAATCAGCCTGCACATTGTTTCTTTAGAAAGCAAACTGGTGAGAAATTGAATGCATAGGCAGCAGTTTAGCACAGAATTTTTGAAGGGCTTCTGTCTCTGAAAGCATGTGGCTTTTTTTTAATTGTGAGCAGATGTAGATTTTTTTCCTTGTTAGTGACTACTCTGAGTTCAATTTCTTTTTATCACAATATGTGGCCAGTTCAGTTTCCTTCTCTACAAGTCATCCTTTCTTGCTTATTTTTAGCCTCACTGAAATTCAAACAATCGTCTTTGTTGCTGTTCCTGTTTGTATACTGATATTGTTGGGTAACTTCAAAGATGTCAAAGCAGTTAGAAGAGGTATTGTTGGTATAAGCTCCCTCTACTGGTTAGTTCTGCAGTAGAAATAAAGCTGTGTGGTGTATAGTTGTCACTGAAATGAAAAGACAGTTAAAAGCAGTGACATACAGTGTTTCTACAAACAACTGTCTACCAGAGTACCAAGTTTGAGCTTATGACTTTTATACTCATAAGGGTTTTAATTGCAGTTAACTTAAAATCTAGATGTCGATATGTGACAGATACCCCATAGAACTGCTGCTGCCACATTGCATATCTAAACAATAGCTTGAGAGCTAATATATTGAGACATCTATTTGCATACAGATTAAAATAACTTTATTACTTTGGACTCCATCTAGTACATTTGCTACTACATTGCACTTACAAACTTTCGGTTAAGGTGCAGTAGTTGTATAGCAGCGGGGTCCAGGCCTCTACATGATTATCAGGAGAAGTAAACAATGAACTTTGCTCTCTTGTTGATGCAGTACAGGAAGGGTGAGTGAAGGACACTGTTTCTTTGTGCAACTGCTTGCAGTGACATGGCTGAAGTCTCCTACATCAGCCTTTCATAGCAAGGATTTGCCCAGAAGAAACTATGCACACGCCTTCCCTCCCCATATTCAGGCAAATGTTGCACAAGGATGAAGTTTGAGTGGGATTGGTGTGAGAGGTTAATCGCAATATTGCAGAGTGTCTACCTATTTGGAAAGTGTGCGCTGTATCTTAGAGGATGCTAAAATTAATTTGGTTTCTGTTTTGATAACACTGAATTACTTGACTGACATCTCCATTTACAGTACTATATATAAATATATATCCCCCAAATACTTTTTTCCCATTATAGACATTTTTTCCCTCCTGTGGAAACTAGAACTTTTATTGGACCATGAGGAAAGTGGCTAAGGTTGTTAATGAATCCATCTTTAGACAGGAAAAAGGTGGTGCTTATGCTTAGGTTGGGCATTTATTTTGCGTGGAAAATGGAGAATAAGTAGGTAAAACAGCTTTCTATGCACAGTTAAAGCTAAGAAACAGTAATCTGTGTATAAACCCCAGAACTTCCAGATTTGTATGCTATTTCACTCATTTTCACATAAGCATAAACAAAAATAGCTGCTGTTGCTACTGTGAAAATTTTGCAACTGAGCGATGATAGGTACTCCAGCAAATGGCAACATCTAAGGACAGTATTTGTAGAGGAGGGGAAAAGGTTATGTGATTGGGGAGAAACAGTACTTTTTATATAAAAGGGAAGAGGTGTCTTTTGTTGTTTGCTTGTTTTTGTTTTTCAGCATTTTTGTTGCTTAAACCTAGAGAGATTTTAGGATTGAGATTTATAAAAGAAACTAACCTGCCAGTGGCAGATGAGTTGTCATTAAAAACTGTTAGGGAAAACCTTTGAAATAACTTAGTAGGATTCTAGTAACAGTTGAAATTGGAAATATACAGCATTGTTTTAGATAAAGCAGTGTTACACCTGTCAGAAATTGTAAGGTTCTTCATCTGTGGGTGGAGTTCATTGCTCATGTCTTCAATCTGGAAAGCCTTGTGTGCTTGAAAGCTTTTCTTTTATCCACTGGTATTAGTTTGTCTGACATGATATCCAGTTGAGCTTTGAGGTATGAGAAATGCGGTGTAACTTGCATAGGTTTTGGCAGTGCTTGGGAAGGTTTTGTCAAAGAGGAGCGGCTGAGTCATATGGTAGTGGAAAATAAGCCAAGCAGATTAAAGACCTAGTGCAAAGATCAGAAAGAGAGAGATGAAGTAGCACGTTTTAAACTTGTTGCCTTTAGAGTGGAGTAGGTTCTCAGGGTGCTGTAAAACTTGTTAATGTTAATTTACTAGGACATTCTCTATCAAAATAACATTTTGTCTTCCCATCTTAAATTGACGGGATGTGTTGAAAAGAACTTCAGTGAAGAAAATACTTTTCTTAATGTCTGGTTTATGACATGTGCCTTGCCAATTGTATATTATATGGGGCAAATTAAATAGGTAGAGTCAAAAGGGACAATTACTTGGTATGCTCAAAAAAAGAAGTCATCACTGTCTCCTTTTAATTGATTGATAGTGTCATATGTTAAAAGATTTGCCTAAGTGAGGTAACAAATCTTAGCAGCTAACTAGCCTGAGTTTGTAACTGGACTAGAAATTAAGAAGGCTTAAATGCATTCAAATCTGTTTAGCTGTGTAGAATGTGCTGTGGTGTTGGCATCAGGTAGGCTTTCCAAAGCTGCTCTACAAATACATCTTTTATGAATGTGCCATCTGGAGACTTCAGGTGTCTTCAAGACCTGATTCAAATGTGAAAAGTAGGGTGAAGGCAGGCTCTTAGCGAGAGCGGTGTCTATAGAGCAGAGCTGGGTTTATTGTTGCAAGCTTATGAAAATTGATAAGGAGACAAGTCTGGGTTTTGTTTGCGTTGGGTTTTTTTGTACACACACTTCCACTGTGACCTCAGTGTTCCTCAAACTTTTTACAAATAATAATAATAAACAACCCCTTCCTTCAAAAAAACCATCTGCACTGAACAACCTGGTTTTTAGGATTGACTGCTGGTCTTGAATAGCTTTCTGAAGCCATGTCTTGGTTGTCAGCACAGTTTTGAGAACCAAGCATCAGAAGCAAAGGAAAGAGGCTCTCTTGTGTTCTCACTGTTGTCCATATCTGATACTCAGGCATCATGAAGAAGCAGCCTGACCTGAAAGCAACAAAGCAAAGAATAGGGGGATGGGATAGGACTGGAGCAAACAAACGAAAAGGAAAGAACTAAGTGTTGGTGAGAGGATGGCATCTGGATAGAGAACTGCATTTCTTACCCGTTGAATGACCCCTTAGCTTTTTTTTTTTTTTAAATGGTTTATTGTGATTTGTATCACATCACTGACATTCTGTGGAATTCTCCACCTAGTGCTTTTCAGATTTCAGAAAACTTGCTGATACCCCTCAATGTGGATCATAGATTGTCAGTGGCAGAATCCCTTCAGGGTATGAGCAATATTACAATTTTTATGTGCAGAACTGAAGGCCTAAATAAGCTTTGTAGGTTGTTGACTGTCAGCTTTGTTCTTGAGCTGGTGCAGTTGCCCTGAGGAAACCGGGAAAAAGGAGCATTGTGGAAGGATGGATTGAATACATCTGTGTTCACTGACAGATGATGTCTATGCCCAGTCATGTTTCCAGCTTTTAATGTAGTCCAACTTGTTTCTAAGTAACAGATTATGACAATTTCACTTAATCACTTTTCTCCGATGCATTTCACTGCTTAATTGTACAAACTCATGAATTTATCTCATGCTTTTGTGCTCTCACAAATAGTTTTTGACCATAACAACAGCTTTTGATTATGCAAGAGATGGCAGATTTGGGTCATATGCTCAACAGCCCCAGCTTTATTTCTATTTGCAGGTTTCACATATACACCAACAGCTTGCTTACATGGCTTATATAAGTTGTAAGACTACAAAAAAATTTCATGAGTGAAAATTTTATAAACGGGAATTCCAGCTGAGATTCCATCTGAAAATGCCCTCAGAAATCCACTCTGCCAGCGGATATTTGCTGGATCATAAGCTTTTAATAAGTTGGCTTGCAGAACAGCAGATGTTCAGTTGTACTGAATACAGTTTACTTAAATATCCTGTTAAGAAAAGATCTGTTCTTCCAGTGTCCTACCAGTAACTTGCTATTTGTTCACCTTAATACATGGAAATATAATTACATATTTCATATAGAATAGAATGTTATACTTTCAGAGCCACAACACGTCTTTTCTCTCATTTAAAGGAAATTATCTTATTGCCTGTTGATGAAAGTGCAAAATAAACTTTTAATAAGCTTTTGGGTTTATTAAAGCAATGTCATCTTGCTTGTAGAAACATCATGACACACAGCAGCATCATGGTGGATGTAGGCAAGTGGCCAATATTTACCTTACTGTCACCTCAAGAAATAGCATCTATTCGGAAAGCATGCGTATTTGGTACATCAGCCAATGAAGCTATATACATAACGCACAATGATGAGGTAAGGCTGTAATAAAGTGGAACATATACTCTACAGTTAGTTGTTTTCAGAGTCCACGGAGTACTTTTAAATTAATAGCTTTTCAAAAGCATTGTGTGAGACTTGTGTATTTCAAAACATGTTGGATGTAACTTCTAAGTTTGTTTGGGTTTTTTTTTTTAGTCTTGTATGGGGGCAATATAGACAGAGTATTTAGAAAACTTACAAATGACACAGGCCAGGATGGATTACATGCACTTTTGAGGACAGTCAGAATTCAAAAGAAGTTATGGTAGCTTGAAATTAAGTGTAAGTACTGCAGGTATGAAAATATAAAATGAGGTTATGGCTTGCGAAGTAACGATACAGCAGAAGATGATCTGTGGATTTTAATGATGCAGAAACTCAATGTGAGTTAGCACTGTGCTGCTGAAAGAAAACAAGCCAGATGCTCTGGGATGTATTAATGGGAGAGTTTCTTGTAAGACTGGATAGAGTAGGATTTTTTTTTTTTTCTTTTCCCTGAGTCTTTTCAAAGCTGCCTGTAGGATGAGCCTCTCACAGTACAGCTGTGGCTGCTCTTTACAAACTGCTTTTAAAAGAAGGTGGTGTATTCCACTTTCACAGTTTAATACTTTTTATAGTACAGTCCCTGCAAATGAGAAGCCTAGCTTCCAGGCCTGCGTGGATCTGAAGAATTCAGACTCATCAGTTACCTTCCAAGGGACCCTGTGCTGGCTCTTGAGCTTGTTAACTTTGATGAAGGAAGTCTCCAGCCCTTGAGAGTCCGTGGCAAAACTCTGTCCTGGCTTTATGAAGACCTGGAAATTACCACATCTGTGCATACCTGAGTATGAATCACTTGAAATGAGTATTCCTCTGTTTTTCAGGTATTTGTTTTTGGACTGAATTGCAGTAATTGTTTGGGAACTGGAGATAATCAGAGCACAATAGTACCAAAGAAATTAGAAGCCTTATGTGGAAAGAAGATTTCCAGTCTCAGTTATGGAAGTGGACCCCATGTTGTACTTTGCACTGAAGGTAGAAAATTAACATTTAGTACAGAAACATAAGTTACAGATTTTAAGTTCCACTTGCATTTGTCAAGAATGGATTAAGGTGTAATTGTATTAACTTGTTAATTGGTTAATGTACACTAAGGGGTTCTCATTGGTCTTAAGTGGAACTAACTGTATTCTGTAACAAGTAAAGTAAGTTTCTGTTACGTTTCCATTATATTGCAACTGTAGAGTTTTACGCTGTCATTTATGACATCAATCAGTCTTACCTGTGCACTTTCATGTATTTCTGCAATAAATCTAGAGGTTATACTGTGATATGTGTATATAAAATAGTTGTATACAAAGTACATAGTGTTTTTTTAGTATACAGATGATTCTTGTAATAGTTTCACTATTTGTTAATGTCTTTTCACTTTCATGTTGGCATTTGCTAATTTCTAAGAATTCTGTCTATCTTAACTTCCTTGGAATTTTTGGTCGGTTTTATCACAAACTTAAATATTTTTGCAGATGGCGAAGTTTATGCTTGGGGACATAATGGTTACAGCCAGCTTGGAAATGGCACAACAAATCAGGGCATTACTCCTGTTCAAGTTTGCACAAATCTGTTAATAAAGAAAGTGGTGGAAGTAGCTTGTGGCTCTCATCATTCCATGGCGCTGTCCTTTGATGGGGATGTAAGTTGAAACTTGTTCAAACCTCTTAATCTCCTTCTTGAAGTGAATAGTGCAGGTGACCTTGCAGTCTGAAGTTCTCTCTCTACTGTGTAGTTACAACATAACCTTTTCTCCTGCCTTTTCTCCTTTTCTTCAGATCAGACTTGAAAACAATCAAAAAAACCCCCACCCACAAACCCCAACAAAAAAAACCCCAATCCAACCACAAAAACAAAGGGGATAAAAGGCTAGTAAACTTTTGTGTCTTTCATTTGTTGTATGTCTCGCAGGGATGAGACCAGAAAGCTGTGCCGCTTACAGGTGAAAGAATGATTTGCAAGATGCAAAATGTAACATTGTTATTTGCTTGCAGTTCTGTTATTTCAGGGGTATATTGAGTTGTTTGTGTTCACTGGTTAGCCTTTAGTCTGTTTCTCATAGTCTTCATGATTTCCACGCTGGCACTGTGAAAGAATGTTGCTTCGCACACCTCTGAATACCTTTGTGTGTAGCTAATGAAAGAGCACTTGGTTTATATCCAAGTCTCCTTTATGCTATTTGTTGACATGGCTTAAGGCTATGTGTCATGGGAAACATGTACAATTAGTTTCCAGTTAGTCAGATTTGACCAGTGTGTGTGTGTATCTGATTTGAGTTGCGTGTTACTGCATGGAGGAAAGCCTGGTTTCAGCTCTGCTTTAACAAAAGAAGAGTTCTAATTTTAAAACCTTCCTAACAATGAAAATGGATACTACAGTTCTTTCCATCCTGGTAATCCCAGCATGTCTGTGTTACCATTCAGTATGGAGTCCTAGTGCAGCAGTAATACAAAGTAGCGTATCAGTATCTTGTCGGTGGGAAAGAGACATTGGGTTAATTTAAGTGATCTGTGTTGTATCTGAAGGGAGAGCCTACGCTTAGGAAAGATCTTCATGCTTTTGCATTTTAATCTGTAAAATTTGGTTTGCATGCGGGAAGGCAGGAGTGTTCATGTATTAGTTAAACCAGTGGTGCCAGCGGCTGTGTGGTAGCTGCCTGTGATGAGCATGCTGTCTCTTGTAATAAATGTAACATGCTTGAAATCTCAATGGAAGCAGGGAAGTTTTTGTAGTTACCATGGAGTTGATATTTGCACCTCACTTGCCATTGTGGCTAGTTAATGTACTACAAATCCATTCCTAGCGTACCTTGCAGTAGCTTAGTCTGTTTGTGCTCTGAGGTTTTATCTGTACCAGAATTGATTATACTGAAAGCAGCTAAATGTGTTAAGTAGAGTTTTATTTACAGAAAGATTTGGCTGCAAAAACTGTTGTGACTTGATATATCTGGACGCTTTGGTTTAACCCCAGCCAGCAACTAAGTACCACAGAGCCGTTCGCTCACTCCCCCCATAGTGGGATGGAGAATCAGATGAGTAAAAGTGAGAAAACTCATGGGTTGAGATAAAGACAGTTTAACAGGTAAAGCAAAAGTTGCACACACAAGCAAAGCAAAAAAAGGAATTAATTCACTGCTTCCCATCAGCAGGCAGGTGTTCAGCCATCTCCAGGAAAGCAGGGCTCCATCATGCATAATGGTTACTTGGGAAGACAAATGCCATCACTCCGAACATCCCCTCCTTCCTTCTTCTTCCCCAGCTCTATATGCTGAGCATGACATCATATGGTATGGAATATTCCTTTGGTCATTTGGGGTCAGCTGTCGCAGCTGTGTCCCCTCCCAACTTCTTGTGCACCCCCAGCCTGCTCACTGCTGGGGTGGGGTGAGAAGCAGGAAAGGCCTTAACTCTGTGTAAGCACTGCCCAGCAGTAACGAAAACATCCCTGTGTTATCAACACTGTTTCCAGCACAAATCCAAAACATAGCCCCATATTAGCTACCCTGAAGAAAATTAACTCTATCCCAGCCAAAACCAATGCCTCTCTGAAACTCCAGTGTATGAATATTCATGGAAATACTTGGCATAATTGATTTGTACAGTTGGTTCAATGCAATTTTAATGCAGTGCAAATTTTTTTTTTTTTAAAAAGTATATTAATCATAGACTTAAAGGACTGCAGACATTCGTGCTTCTCTGAGAAAGGAAACTGATTAGCTCTTTGGCATTTTGATCTATTTTCTGAGATTCTCTACCTTAATTTTTTTCCATGTTATTGAAATTAAGGTATTTTATAGAGCATCTTCAAATATTCAGTAGGAATCAAAGATCCAGCAAATACAAGTAACAAAAAGCAAAGGACTAATGCTTTCTTTTGTTCATATTAGACACAGAAGATGAGTTGTATTGGTGAGAGGGTTTTTGTTCTTGTCTTTGGTGGGGGTTTTGTTGGTTGGTGTGTTTTGGGTTTGGCTTTTTTTTTTGGTGGTGGGAGAGGTGTTTGTTTCTAATGACTGACTTTTGGTTTGGTGTTGCAGTAAACAGGCAGCTTCTGGCACCAAAGGATGTGCAGACTTCACATTAGGGTATCTCTGTCAGTGTGCTATTACTGACTAGCATGTCTGTGGCTGACTGTTTCCAAGAGGACAAACTTTTTAGCTGGGTGAAGCACCAGAGGATTAACTATCAGAAATAGTTTTGTGCCAAGCTATGGGTGTGTATGCACATGATAAAAATTGAAGGAACTGAAAATACAAAGCTGTAATTTTTTTTTTTTTTTTTTTATAGCAAACTACTTCACTGTCTTTTGGACTTTTAGATGAAAGGAACCAATATTTTTGGTTTTATTATTATTAGTTTGCCACTGGCAAACTTTGAACCGTCAGAGGTGGTGCTTTTTTGTTAGTGCCATTGTGTAACAAGAGTTTTGCTACTGCGAAACATGAACTGACAAAACCATCTCCTTTCACAGCTCTTGAAGGATATAAAAGATGTATGATGAGTGGCCAGCAATAACCTGGTTTAGAGTTCTATAAAGAAAACAAAATAGCTGTAAATTGGGGAGTTCAGCTTGTATGGGAAACAAATAACATTCTGGCTTGCATTCCTTTTTCCAACATTGTGAAAGTATAAAACCAGTCCACTCACTATGCTCTTTGTCTTATAGTCTAACTTATATTTAATATGGAAATGTGTTCCTTTTGTTTCCTCTTGTAGTCAGATGCTCTGGTTCTGTAGCAAAAAGCTGAAAGAAGTGTGGAAGTGGGATGTTCATATTTGCTAGATCAGTCCTATTGCTGTTTATAATTTTCTGCTGTTGAAAATTAATTTTAAGCATTTTAGCTTGTTAAATAGGATAGTTTACCCAATCTGATGCTGACTACAGTAAGATTATAATTTATTACTATCATTACTATTATTGAGGCTTAAGCTGCAGGTTGTTGTTTGTTTGTTTTTATGGACAGCTGTACGCTTGGGGCTATAATAACTGCGGTCAAGTTGGATCTGGATCTACAGCAAACCAGCCAACTCCTCGCAGAGTTTCGAACTGTTTACAGGGTAAAATGGTAGTTGGCATTGCTTGTGGTCAGACCTCATCCATGGCTGTAGTAAACAATGGTGAGGTAAGCACTGCTGCATTCTCATGTTCTCTCTCTGTTACCCAAACTTACAAGGTTAATGTCTGAGCATGGAGAAATGCTGACATGAAGTGTTCAAGTTACAGAGTTATATTGATAGAGTTATATAGAGTTATAGTGATAACTTCTGTGAGACCAATTTAAGTAAAACTCTGTTTTCCTTAAAAATTAAGGAAATTAACCAAATTAAGGAAAACTGGAGATGCTGTCTTTATACTAAATGTTCCTTCTTATGGCAAAGACTGTATTAGAACATAATTCTGACTGATCTGCAACTTGAAGAATTTGAACAGTTGTATTAAGCATATGTGCCTTCCTTATTTCAATAGCTTGTTTAACATACATAAATTAGATTTTTGAAAGTGTGCACAATTAAATAGTTCATCTTTCTGCAAGAATACACTGACTGATCCTGGTTCTTAAACACATTGCTTAATTGCCAGCAATAAAACCAAACCAAGCTTTTGAACATTGCCCTAGTATTGTGCAACTGTTCCATTTCACATAAGTTTATGGTGCTATCATGCTTTTAGGTATGAACTGTAACCTTAATTTTACTACATTTCACCAAACTCGGAGCGTAGCATTTCTTTGTGACTGGAGGGACTGTAAAAGTCCCTGAGGTTGAGATGAGCTTTCACTGTATATACTTTTGTCTTGATGTGCCCACCGTAAGAAAACTAAAGGAAAAATTAGAGCTAAACTGGGGACTTCAGTTTAAACTAGTCCAATAGCTAATCAGCTGATCAGAATAACCGATTTCTTGTTTTCTTTAAAAAAGGAAAAAGTAATAAGGAGAAAGGAAGGTGTAAAAGTCAACTAAAATGTTGATGCTATAGGAAAGATTTTGGTGTATTTTAAGTTTATTGCAAAATTCCTAGTACTTCAAAGATAAATGTATTTTAGAAAGCTTCTTTAAAAGGTAAATGCAGGACTGAAAAGTTGAATATGAACAGTCATTGCAGGATATTTAATATCTTTCAGCCTTCTCTATATTGCTCTTGAAATAGTATAATTTTTTTTTAAGAAAATGTACTTTTTTTGACTTGTGCATGATACTAAGTCTTAAATGTTCTATACCTCTGCAGAGGAGTGGCTTAATTTTGTTTTCCTTTTGCAATCAGGTTTATGGCTGGGGTTACAATGGTAATGGTCAGCTAGGTCTTGGGAACAACGGCAATCAACTAACGCCATGCAGAGTGGCAGCATTACATGGTGTGTGTATACTCCAGGTACGTCTAACTTGGAAACAAAAATGCATTCATGTTGCTAGCATATGCTAAAAGTGTATCTTTGGAATCTTATACCTGTTTCTAGATGTCACAGTTCAAATACTGCTTTTTTTTTTTTTTTTTCTTAGCTCCTATGAATTATATGTTATTATATGTTTATAAAAAGTGCAAGTAAGGTGTAAAATACTTGCTTTTGTAAACATTCTGAATGATTTAAAGTTAGCTAGTGTAACTAAGTAAATTATGCTATGGATACAAATTGCATCTTTGTTACAAAGCTGAATGAGTGAAACGCACTAGGCAAAGACAGGAAATGAAGGGGAAGAAAAAACCTGAGATGTTCAAATTAGATTCTACATTAATATCCTAATTAGCCCTGCAGAAGTGAGGGGAGAGGGAAAATGAGAGTCATGGGTGTGGATTTGGTTGTTTGGTGGTTGTTTTGGTTTCTCTTTTTTCCCAGCTAAAGAATGAAACTGAAAATTGGGATTTCCTAGGATTTTAGTAAGGTTCTGTGGAGTTTCATGTGATAACTTGAGTTGAACAGTTGTTGGCTGTTGAACTGCAGTTCTCACAGTCTGTATAGTATTCAAAATATCAAATTCTCAAAGTATTTCGGAGTTGCAAGACGTGATGATGAAGTTTGCTGTTCTTCATGTGAAGAGCCTGCAACTGAAAGCAAGTAAAGGCTAGGGGGGCTTTGCAAGAGTGCAGTAAGTTATTTAGGAGTAACCAATGAACACCAAATTAATGAAGCTGGGACTTTTTGAGTACTTACAGTTAATGTATTTTGTGTTAGCTTTAAGTACTGAGAAATAACACATTGTAGTGCTAAATGAAGAATGCCTGAGATATTTAACATCAGCTAGACTAAGGTAATGTGTGCAATTAATTTTCTCATCTCTGTTTTGTTGATTAGTAATACTTACACATTTACTTACAGATTGCCTGTGGCTATGCGCACACACTAGCACTAACAGATGAAGGTTTGCTCTATGCCTGGGGCGCAAACACTTATGGACAGCTGGGAACTGGCAATAAAAGTAACCAGCTAAGCCCGGTGCAGATCATGATGGAAAAAGAAAGGTAATCTTGCTGAAGCTGTTTCTGGATTGATAAGTCTGAGCATGTGTTATGCAGTCTCTAGCACTGGAAGCATGCATGTTTAGGGCTTGGTGGATTGTTTTGCTATCGCTAATGTTAAAAGCATAGGAAAGGATGGTAACTTACTGTTTACTATAGACTTGAGTGCTTTTTGCTATTGGTAATGATTATTGAAAGTAAACATGCTTTGTATTTACCTGATACTGAACGATAATGAGTGACAAAGTGTTAGGCTATTCTAAATATAGTTCCTTTGATTAAAAATCTGGAGCTATGAAATTGATAAGCCAAGCTTTTAAGCTGTTTTGAGGCCTACATTTAAAAAAAAAAAAGGAGGGGAAGGAAGCACCACCTTTGTAAGAAGTGACGTGTGAGGAAAAAACAATTTTCTGAAAGGCTGACAATAGCCAACCATGACAACTGAACTCAGTTTGCAGGGTTGCTAGAGCTAAGGGCAGATAATACTACTTTTATCAGTGGTACCAGTCAGTAGCTTGTAGTTTCTCGGCTTCCTAGGCTCATAAAGGAATAACCCTAACCATTGTCCATCCTCTTTCAGCACCCTTGTCATCCTCATATTTGGGATGGCTCTTCTTCTGTTCACCTACAAGCTTGGACCTCAGTCCCATTCTCTGGACCCACGTGTATACCTGTAGATTAATGTACCTCAGTTTGGAATCCTATTAGTCTATAAATCCCTTAACCTGTAGATCTCTTAACTTGTAATCTCCTCTTAACTAGTAAACACTTGTGGTTGTTTTTTCTCCTCTGTTTCTGAACTGTCTTTCTGGGAAGTCATTCCTATTTTTTACTGTTTCTCACACTAAGGTTAAATTAAAAGCTGCACAGTACTGAGATTATTTAAGAACTTAAAAAATGGGTGGGGGGAAAGAAGAAAGGAACCATCACAGTAGAAACCACTGAGGTGAGGCTGGCTTGTCTGGGAAGGAACTGACACTAGCAAAGCAAAACAAAATATTCTTTAAAAAAAACATTGAAAGAGAAACGTGTATGTTTTCAAATATATCAACTTTGTGTTCTTAGTGATTTATTTCTTGAGTGAACTAAGAGGATCTATAGCATTTAGAATTTTATGTGAGCTCAAGCATGGGGTTATAATAAAACTGACATTTGTTCAGTGACTAAAAGAGGGAGAAAATATAGAACTTCTGCTTGGAATCTAAGGGAGAGAGAAGTCACTTGAACTTGCTCATCTTGCTTGACTTGGCTCCCTTGGAAACAGTGCTATAAGTGGGTGAGCTGTCATTTCCCATGAAGCATATTAATGCTGCTTTTTCTGGTCCTTTCATTTATATAACTTTTATCATTTATATGTAATGCTGGTGACAGTTCCTTAGGAGCTGGCATTTGATGCTGTCTTGAAGAATATTGCACATATAGCTTGTAAGGAACTTTTAGACTTTATTTTGTGTTAGCTTGGAGGAACAGTTATGAAGGTCAGCTTCCTGAATTTTGATATTAAGTATACGCTTAACATGTTATCCTGTAGATGTACTGTAAGTATACTGTACATGTACTATACGTGTTATAGTACATGTTCTACTATGCTTCTTAAGTGTAGCACAGTTACTCTAAAAATAAGAATCTCTTCTGCTAAGGAAAGAAAGTTTGGGGAAGGAAGTAGTTTAGGTGGATAGCTATGATGGACAATAAGTTGTCCCTAAAATAATTACTTTACGATATCTCATGCAGAGGTGCTGAAAGATCTCAGTGTTGCATAGAGGTTCGTTAGTTGATAATGGTGTAAAAAACCCCATTAGTCTTCTATCTGCTAGAAATTATTGATACATATACTGAAAGTGATTGTAGATTCTTTCTGTGTTTTACCTTGAAATAATTTTTGCACTTAAAATGTGGGCTTTGTGCTAAAAAAGCCTTTTGCCTAAAAAGCTAATTCTTTATGGATATTGTTCTATAAAGGAATAAACATGTTGATTATGTACATTCTTAGCCTGCTTGGAAAGACCTTTATTTGTCCCAGTTGATCTGTTTCTGGCACAAAAGCATGAAATCCTCTGATGCATTTTTAGCATGAAGAAACAAAAGAGGAAAGCATAGCTTTTATTTTGAACTAACGCTGGAACTTCCCCTGATTTTTGCTTATGTGAGCAGAGACACTGGAAATGTCCTTCCGGTCCTTTTAATGGAAAGGTGATTCTTCTCAATTCTTGTAATGTTTCAGATAGCAAGATAGGGATTGGGTGAGCAATGGGAGAACAGATAGATACGTGTGCATGAGCAGCTTTAATATTTTAAGGAAGTATGTGAGGTGGGTGAAAATACTATATAGACTTTATTTAAAAAACAGCCATAGCTCTTCAAGAATGTGGAGTTAAGTGTGTGTATTCACCTTTCCTCAAATGAAGCACTGTCCATGCTCCACGCTGAATCTCAGTGTTGAGGAAAGGAAACTAACGGCAAAATAAGAAGTCAGAAATGCAGGCAATAGGTCAGATCTTTGTCTACATACAAAAACCAGATTAAAGGCAGGGTAGAAGGGTTTCATGATAAAGGATTTATTGAAAAATACATGGGATCTAAATCTCAAAATGAGAGGATTTTTACAATGTGTTTGAAAGAAGTTCTGAAAAATGCTCTGCAAAAATCTTAGTAGTACAACTTTTCTCCCTGTTCCCTAACTGGAAGTTTCATAAGCTCCATAAGCATTTCTTCTTGAAAATGTCTGATGTGCATTGATTTTAAAGGGGAATGGTTATGGAAGAAAAGGAGGAATGTCAACTGATGAGAATGACATAATTAAAACAGTATCTGATTACAATAAAATCTACAAGCAATCTGAAAATGTCATTGCAGTTTGTCAGTATTGATCCATTCAAACAGTATCATATGCATGCAGGACAAAGAAAGAAGTACAGGAGTGTAGATGCATGTTGGTTGGCTGTTATTTTGGTGAGGCATTTGGAAAGTCACTTGATTCCATACCTGTAAGTATCTTACAAGGTTTCTTCTGTTTCCAGGGTTGTGGAGATTGCAGCCTGCCACTCTGCTCACACATCGGCTGCCAAGACCCAGAGTGGCCAGGTGTATATGTGGGGCCAATGCCGTGGGCAGTCAGTGATCTTTCCCCACCTCACTCACTTTGCCTGCACGGACGACGTGTTTGCTTGCTTTGCTACCCCTGCCGTTATGTGGCGTCTTCTATCAGTAGGTGAGAAAGAGCTCCAGTATGGCAGCCAGTGCTATAATCTCTGTGTACATTTGTAGTGATTAGTACAGGATACCACTTCTGTGGCAGGATGGTTGCTGCTTTAAAGAGAACCAGCAATTAAAACTAGCTCTTTTAGCTAGGTTTTTTCTTCTGAAGAAAACAGCATACTTCAGCAGCTAAGGGTCCAGAACAGGGTTAATAAGATTGATTGTTTGCCAGTATACATCTGGAGAGAACCCTGTTTTACCATTGCACTGTGAATATTGTATATTTCCTACATTTGTATTGTTTGAGCTCTAGCTCAGGACTGGGAAGGACCCCTGGATCAACTCCTGGATCCATACAACTTTATTTTCTCTCAAAACCATTCCTACTTGGAAGACTGTTCCTGACACTCGTGACTTTGGTATCTAACAGCTTTGAATCATAAGTGTTGTCTCTAGCTTTCCCTCCTTAGTATTTACCATTCCACTATGAATATGAAGGAGCGAATCTCTCTTCTGTGCTTCACGTTAGGAAAGTAAAGTAACAGAATTCCAAGTTTTCATTTTGTGAGATGATTTCTCTTAACTCGATTTAGTTTGACTTTCCCCAAAGACAGGCAGACTTGTAAATAACAGTCCCTGTGTAACAAGACCCTAATATAATTGTTTTCTCTCTTGGAACTCTCTTCTTATACTGCCTTGGATTACACTTTGGGATGCAGTCTCTATGACCAACGAATAAGGCCAAACCTTTCTTCTTGATTATCTTTGATTCACATGCTGCTAATTCTTATTTGACTCCAAATATGCTATAAAGTACTTAGCTTACGCTTCCTTGAAAGCATGAATGTGTTTTCATGTTCAAAACATGAAGATGTTTTCATCTTAGATCTGCCGCTTCAGTTCTCAAGATCATTTAGGACGTCTAATCTGTTTTCATATTGACAACAGATCCTAATTTTGTTAGTCCCTGTACAAAATTGGTTTTGTGGAGGGATCACATCCTAAGTAACCTTTCTCCAGACTCAGACTTTATCTTTGCATGTGGCCTGTCCTAACCCAGCCTCTCCATCTTAACTTCTCATTTAGCATGTTACCACATTTATAGAGGTCCAGATAACAGCACCTTGTCTATAGAGGAAAACTGAATAGTTTTACTAAAGAGAGAGAAGATTAGCTTGGAGTGATCTGCTTCTGGGTAAATCCAAGCCTTGTTTTATCCCACTTCTCACTTTCTCCATTCTCTAATCCTCTGAGATCTGTGTTAGTCTTGCCCTCTGTAGAGGTCTGATGGTTGTCTGGGTCTGTTGCCTTTTGCTAATAGCGAAGGCTGTTTAAATGACATCTCCCCAGTTTCAGTACCTTTCAAGTTCTTGATTTTTTTTATGAAGTATTCCCAGACTAAGTATAACAAAGTATTTGAATGTTGTACCTGCATTTTAATTCCTCTTAGCCTTTGGGGGTTCTTCCCCTCTGTCCTGGTTTCAGCTGGGATAGAGTTAATTTTCTTCCTAGCAGCAGACATAGTGCTGTGTTTTGGATTTAGTAGGAGAAGAATGTTGATAACATGCTGATGTTTTTAGTTGTTGCTGAGTACTGCTTATGCTAGTCAAGGACTTTTTCAGCTTCCCATGCTCTGCCAGGCGCACAAGAAACTGGGAGGGGGCACAGCCAGAATAGTTGATCCAAACTGACCAAAGGGCTATTCCATACCATATGACGTCATGCTCAGTATATAAACTGCGGGGGGGTGGCCAGGGAGCAGCGATCGCTGCTCGGGAACTGCCTGGGTATCGGTCGGCGGGTGGTGAGCAATTGCATTGTGCATCACTTGCTTCGTGTATCATTATTATTATTATCATTATTATACTGTTACTATTAGCATTACTATTTTACTTTATTTCAATTATTAAACTGTTCTTATCTCAACCCAGGAGTGTTTCTCACTCTTACTCCTCCGATTCTCTCCCCCATCCCATCGGGGTAGGGGGAGTGAGCGAGCGGCTGCGTGGTGCTTAGTTGCTGGCTGGGGCTAAACCACGACACCCTCTTATCCTGATAATCCTACTTGCTGAATATTTAAATCAAAAGCATTCATTCTGGGGGCATTTTTAATCTCCATTTTCCATATGTATTTTTCCCTTCTCCACCTTTTTTTATTCGTATCGGTTAACCCCCCCCCCCTTTTTTTCTTTTTATGTTTTTTTTATTTTGTTTTTTTTCTTAGTGAGAGCTAACTCTGCATAAAGGTTATTGTTCTACTTCCAGTTATGGTGGCTCTGCCAAAAAAATAAATCAGTCACTCGGGATTGGCTGTGGTGAAGTACAAAACTGCATCCTTTTTTGAGGAATGAACTTAAGGTATTTGGCATGAAAATTGATCTACTGCATAGCTTAAGCTAGGCTGATGACCTAGAAAAAAAATCACATGAGCAAGTAGAGGGGGATGGAGCATGGTTTAGTTAGCCCTGATGAGATGCAGGTTATGTGGATGATCCATGTAAAAATTCTGTGGCACAAACATGACTTGTCTGTTATAGTAGTTTGTTACAGCAGTATCTCTCTTTAAATACCAACTAATTTAGCTGTCCCTAATGGTGAAGAGGAATTTGTGGATTGTATATGGATGAACAATGTGCAGTCCTGTGGGATGCAGGAGACAGGCCACATCCCATTATAGTAGAAATCTACTTATTTTTCTTCTCCATACTTCGCTTCTTAGATGCCATGTGTTTTGAAACACACTTTTAAGATGCATCAACAAAAGCTTCAAATAGCAGGCTAAATTAGGTTTTCTAAAACTTCACAGTTCTGCTTTACCACAAGCCTTAGCCAACTTGTGCTGTAACTCTTGTATGATTTCTAGAGACACAGAATGGGACCTCTGTGGGACCAGTGCCATAGGCCTTAATATAAAGAACTGTCAAAGAGCTGTTATATCTCAGCTTTAATCCACTTCCAATATTGCTGAAGCCCTGTGTCCTTGGTAGTAGATGCTGTGTTCTTGGTACAGACTCTCTTCTTCAGCAGCACTGCTGCTGGATTTTGTGTAGTCATAAGTGACTAATAAACTGAGTATAATGGTGTCAGTGATAGCTCATGTTAGTGAGCCCTGGCAAAGACCTTAACAGACAACCTGCAGGCTGTATCCAATCTGCCAGCACAAAAAAGTGGCCAACTAGTGACATGTTTTCTTAGTATTTAGGCTCAGATCACACTGTGTCAGTGCGGCTGAAGTACTATAAACCATGTCTCGAGTGAGTTGCAGGTGATGCTGTAGGTTCCCATTACCAGCAGTCTGAAGGTTAGACGCAGAGACTAGTTTGCAGTTTGCAGAGCTGAGCTGACCTAGCAGTAGCACTGAGCTGCCAGGAGGCTGGCAATTCTTGTTTAATATCTTTATCAACAATCTGGATGAGGGGATT